GAGCCTCCTCCACAGGCATTGCCCTATCTATGATGAACAGGAAACATACCAAGCAGACTTCCTTTCTTGGCTAGCAACTTGGTTACTTGGATCTACCAGATTGGAATGCATCATGAGGCTAATTGTGATGGAGAAATCACTGAAGGTGTAACAATCTTTGGCATGACTTTGAGCAGCTCAGGAAGGTTAATAATCGAGCTGCCAAAAAATCTCCTTCAACATGCCATCTTCGGATAGATATTATCCTGAAAATGGGGACTGGAAAGAGATAGCTCACATTCATTGGTATGCGAGGTGGATGTGCATGAGCTTCATCAAGCTTAATAAGGAGAACATAATACAACCTACATTCAAGTTATTAATATCAAAGTCTTCCATTATTCAATTTCAAAAATCTAAGTATGGAACAAGCACAAAGATAAAACATTTGCTTGCTTCTAAGTCAAATGGAAGAAAATAATGAGGTAAGCACTGGTCCACCTATCTTGTGATAAGTCAAGAGTTCAGGCTTTGGCATAAAGTGGTGATTGTTGAAACGTACATTCGAACAGCACATTAACATTTTTTCAAAACTGTTAGTGAACAGATAAATGTATAAGTTTAACACATACTATATAAAATAAAGTTCTTTCTATTGCAGCAACTTAGGAGGGCTTCTATGCTGCTCTATACAAAAGCTTTCCACTTACATGTTTGCAAACTTGTATTACTTGAGTGTTGTTCTTCCTAGAGGTTAAGCGCCTAGTTCTTAAGTATTGTGAGAGCACTCTGAATTGTACAGCTGAGAACTACAAAAAAAAACAATTGCACACTTTAGGTTAACAGTCTACACTGTAGGTAGTGTGACTGTATATGAAATATGGTATCATCTAGTCTGTTGCCTGGATTTTCAGCAACTTCACAAGTTGCTGACTCCTCCCTTGACCCTTGAAGGCATGGCAGTGACAAGTCTTCCAGGTTCCTATGTTTCTAAACTTTCTCAAAATATTGTTTGTTGTTAAGCACAATTCTACACAATGGACTATCTGTGCTATGTCCACCATAAGTATCAAAACCCTATTTTTAGCATTATAAATCTTCAGAATTACCATTGAGCCACTGAAGAGCTTCTCAAAAGTGAAAATACTATATTTTAACTTTGCCAATTATCTACATTGTACTCTGTAACCACTGAAAATGGTTTTCTCAAGCTGACTCTGGATGAGACAGTTACAACAACAATAAATTTTTCTCAGTATTCTACAGCTATAACTATGCTTCAATAGTAATTTCCCATTCAAAATTATATTCCCACAGAAACAGGTGCATTAATTGACAAGCACATTTTGAATCATGTGATTTTACGAATAATTATTATACACAGGTATGCAAATGTATAAATGCATACAACATATACAAACAGATTGTGGTTAGTATAAAATAAAACACATCAAGAGATTAATTGCAATGTTTTACATTTTCATTGCTGGGTTTTAATTTTGCCCAATTTAATTTCGCATGCTTAGTGATGCGAGTCAGCACCATAATGTTACATATTTGTTTGCTTTAGTGGTTCACATTATTATAAATTTTAGTGCATTTGTCATTCGGGACCTCAAAACAAAAGACGGAAGATTTTTGAAACATCATCCTCTACATTCATGTTTTTTACAACAGGCAGTTGCTGTCCATTCCACAAAGTTTCAACAACGAAAAGTCATTCCCACCCATTTACTAGGCAACTTGCAAAGGAAACAAAAAAAAAAATTACAATACTGAAATTTTTAAGATATGAAACAAGTCATATGTTGCATTTTTTTTTCATACAATAATATTATATACACAGATTAACATTATTTCTGCATATTTAATTATTGAGGCTCACTTGGCATTTGTGCACTTAATGATGCTAATCAGTACAAACTCAAATTAATTTTAGTGAAGTAAATCTCAAACACTATCAAATTACAACAATAATATGAGCAAGTGTCATTGTGACATAAAAGTGCCATCATTTTTTCCCTTACTTTTTTCTTCTACTACACAAATGACATAGCCATAGAAGTTGTGAGGTTTGCATTTCTAAGATATGCTGTGTAAAACAATGCATTGTGTAGGTATAATAGTGATTAGTAACCTTTAATTTAAAACCACTAAATGTATTTGCATTTATACTACAAAAGACTGTCCTATGCACATGCCACTTAATTAGCTTGATATACATACAGGGTGTCCATAAATTATCTGACACATTTTGAAACTTAATAATTTCAAAAATATTATAGATAGAACACTCTGGTTTTATTTAACTTTATGAACAACTCATAAAGTTTTTCTCCTTTCTGTTGCAGATCCATTTTAGAAGCATTGCTAGAAAAGAGAAAGTGAAAAAAAGAAATGGCAACACCCCAGGACAAGCTGCAGTGTATGGCTGAGTTTATTGAATCCAAGTCAATCATGTCCATGCAACAAAATTACCAACACATTTATGAAAAAGACCCACCAACCAAGAATAGCATAAAAGCTTGATTTTAAAAATCCCTAGCAACTGTCAGTGCATTACAACAGAAGGGAGATGGGTGTTAAAGTGTATCTGATGCAACAGTTGATTGTGGGCAAGAGGCATTTCTTAGAAGTCCAAAGAAATCTATTTGTCATGCTTCCCTTGAACTTAACTTGCCAAAAAGCACAGTGAACAAAATTTTACACAAAGGACTTCATTTGCATGCCTTCAAAGTGCAAGTACTGCAGGCCCTTGAACTAGATGATGGATGAGGTTTTGCAGATAGATCAGAATAATGAATACCTTGCAAAAGTTTATTTTCAGATGATGCTATATTCCATGTTTACAGTCATGCCAATCAGCATAATGTCCATACTT